TTACGTTCCTGCACTTTGCGTGCCCATTCCTGGAATACTTCAGAAATTGAGAGCTTGGCGCGGAAGCTATCGCCATCTGCTTTTAGTTTTTGTCCCTCCAAATGCGTTTCCCAGCCCTTGCCCAACACATCTTCTACGCGTTTCAAATACATTGTCAATTGGTTATCGATCTGACGTGCCCAAATGATCGATCCAGCTACTGGTGGTAAATCGCGCACAGTGGAAAGACGATAGCTTTTGCTTTGTGGATATTGTACCTAAATGTAATTAAAATGTGTTCAAAATTGTTTACCCGTGCGGTGATTTTCAAACAAACCTTGAACTTCTCGTGCAATGCATCAATATCATCCTTTACACGTTGTATAAGTTGTGTCTGATATTCTCGTATTGCACCACGTATGTGCGGACGCACAAACAGCGCATTGAAGCGCGAGAAAATACGAAACATTTCGTTTGCATTCTTAGCAGTGCCGAGTTGATCACGCAAATGTGCTGTGATGCGTGCTTCGACGCGATCTACAAAGCCACAATTTTAAAACAATTTAAATCAATAAATATTCCCCAATCTACTTACCAATTTTTTCTTCATAACGTTTCACAGCTGCTTCCCAAGCTTCTGATCCTTCCTTGGTTATATCCAAGCAATCTACCTCTTTGACATTTTCATATGCCAAGTTCACCTCTTCAATAGCATTAGCATCAGCCGCTTCCAGGCTATATGGTTGCTTCGTTTCGACAGCATTGGTATCATTATTTTGTGCTTGCTTGGTAGGGCGCAACACACGCAAAATTACAGTACGCAATTGTTCATGTTGGCGACGGAACTTGCGCATATGCTCCATGCGTGTCTGAAGCTTCTTATGCGCAGGTGATACGCGCCAGACCATCTTCAAATGCTCGTCTCGCTTCTTCTTTACAATGTCGCGCAATAAGCCTTGTAATTTATCGTACTCGTCGTCCCAGCAACTGAATATTTCAAAGCACTGATTCATGACACGTTCAAATTCATCGAATGGAATATGCATTAGCCGACGTGTACCCAGCACTTTTAGTAGTTGTTGTGACAAATCGCGTGAAATAGCTTCGATGAGTTTGAGACAACGTTGTATTGGGTACTTGGTGTTACGTACTTTGCGCAAATGTGAGAAAATCTGCTGCACTGCTGGGCGAATTTTCTCCAGCTCGGTAGCAGATAGCAAGTCATTAATGGGAAAATCCTTCATTAGGGGATTATAATCGGCAACCATAGCCAAGGCCTGTTTTAGGCCGGTATCAGTATCAAACGACACGGTGGCATGGAAACGTTTGCCATGTTTTAATATGTCTAGTGTGAGGGCAACTTCTGGTGATTCGCGCTTTTCCTGGATGCGATACAGAGCGCGCTCCAAGTTCAACCAAAATGATATTTCCTATTTGTAAATAAAAAGAAAAAAAGAAAATCCCAATAATTACACGGTGCTACAAAAAAAAAGTCATGAAATACACTTGAAACAAAACCTAGTGTAGGTTGTAGCTATGGTCGAGTACAACATAAAAGTAGGTTCCGTATAGTTCCTGAACCCTCCATTTTTATTTTATTTAAAAACAACCGTTATGTTCGTACTTGATGCAACATCTATTTTCGAATAAATTGATACCTCACTTAATGAAATTGCATAAAAATTTTCGAAGTTAAGCAATTTAAGCAAAAATACGGCCTTGAATTTCTGTTTGTGTGTATGTGCCGGAAGTTCAGATGTTTTGAGCAGTGTGTCAGTATTTACTCAAATTTGATATATATGGTTCATTAACACAAAATTCGTTTTTCACTTATATCATATATGCGTATCTCAAAAACTATTTGACCGATCTCGACTAAATTTGATACACACATTTTTCCACCTTAAGCACCGTGTTGAATATTTTTGTTTGGTTTTTAATATTGGATGAAAAATAGTCGAGCTGTTAATAGATAAGTGCATCAAGTACGAGCTTTTAAATACAATAAAAATGGATGGTTCAGGAACTATACGGAATATATTTTTAGTTGTACTCGACCATAGCTACAACCTACACTAGGTTTTGTTTAGGTTTGTTTGTATTTGTAAGGCAATAATTTGTTATACCTGTAGAGCTGTGCCCGATGATGGATCACGGTCTAACTTGGTAACCTTTTTGATTTCCTTAATCCAACGATTTACACCATTTTGTAGTTGATTAAGAAATGACGAATCCTCTACTTTGTCACCAAAGTCAGCCACTTTAGCCTTGCGGTTTTCATCAGCGCATTTACGTATGACCGCATTTACAGAAGTATGTGCCGTCAACGTTATTTCTGGTATGTCTATGTTTTGCTGTAGATGCAAAAGGCCCATCTCCAACTCGGCCAACTTCTTTTCAACAGAAGGCGCCATTTTATCACCATCACGATCAGCACGTCCCGATTCCTTAACGTAAGACTTGAAGTAAGGCGCCAAGGACTTTGAAATGAATGCATGCAACGTCTCATACGGTGAACCATCAGAGAAATTAATCAGGCGCAACTGGGAATGTATAGATTTGTCTGCTTCAATTACGGCACCACGCTTGATGCACGCTAACGAAGCCATACGGCTGTTGGTAAAGTGTACATCATTACTAATTTGATAGTTCACAAACTCTTTCTCCTCTTCCCCTTCGGCGGGTTGTTCATTCTCATCTTCTGAAATGAAATAAACTTTATTTAGTCGCATAATACTATAATATAAAAGCAATTTTATTTTCAAATATAAAAGATATGAAAAACTTCTGGCCGAAAGTGGGGGGCGGAGGAGGAGGAGGCGTGTTTGGGCGTCATTGTACAAATAACTAAAATTCTCTATAACAGGTATATAATCATGAAGAGAAAAGCATTAGAATTAAGTGATTTACGCAAAATATCGGCCTAAATTTTTTTGAGTTGTGCCCCTTTTGAAAACTTATGCGATATGTATGTATTATACTAGGTTCACATATAAGTAGATTATCCTCATTTTCGAGCTTAACACCCTAATCTGTAATTATAACAAGAGATTAACCATATAAAATTCGTCCCTTGTTAATCTGTAATTATAAAATAATCTCAGATTAAACCGATAACTTTTCGGTGTCCATCCTAGTTTTATCGATTGTTTTTGCAAAAAAGAGAAGAAATGCCAAATGTAAAAGTAAACAAAAATGTACGCTAGCAAGGAAAAGAGGTTTGTAAAGGTATTTTTAATAAAATGTTAAGTTAAAATATATTTATATTGCTCATTATAGCAGAAAAACGTGATCACGGTGGCACAGAGATGAAACATAACTTTTCCTTGAGATGTGAGAATAACAAGCACAACAGATTTGACGGCTAATAATCTGAGATTTGCCTGTGTAAACGGGGTGATTAAAAATCGAGCTTTCATTGTGATAATATTGATATGTGAACATAGTTTTACTCCCACTAAGCCCATCGCGAAAAAATAACCTTCAAATCAATGCTACTCAGCAAGGCCAAACAAATTCCTTTCCTTCCCCCATTGTAGACCATCACACAAACAAGAAACAACTGTTGCAAGATGACAGCCAATTTACCCCATGTAAACAATTACCAGCTGTTGTTTGTTTACATTAATGCCGGCTACCCAAAAAAAAAAAGCAAATGCCAGTTGTAATAGAATTATCGATCACTCTGTACTAGATTTGCACCGATGACTCAGCTCAAAATGACATCACCATACTCAAACTTCGAACTATAGTATCCAATTGGAACTCATTTATTGATTTTTATCCAATTGGATTTTGCAAATTTTTTACCTGACTGGAATCAAGTTCTCTGGTTAAACATTCAGTCATGGTTAACCTCCTTTGTATGAATTTACAATAAAATTATTAAATATATATATGAAACAAATGCGATACCATACAGACCGTGGTCGCCATTTTGTAAAATTGGGGCGTTGGTATCCACTAGCCAAAGAACTGTAGAAAGCGACTGCCGTTAGACTAATATAACGCCTGCAATTACCTTTTAAGCAATTCCGCTGGATGTACAATGCTTGCACCTGTGGATCCGAAAGAAACTTTTTTATGCGTTCTTGATTATCTTGGTCCTCCAGTGCAACATTTAATGCCGGAGGAACTACATCTTCTTCAGGCAGCAAGATGGTCACTGCTTTACGTATATAATTAGCAAATGCGCCATAATCGACAATAGTCACATTTGCCACCGCCTCCACAGAGGTATCGGCGTTCTCCAGCGAATCTCCCATGATATATTCGCTGGAATTCACACTAAATAAGTTATTTTATTTATTTTCAATTAATTTGCGATAGCTGTTTGATTACGTCCACAAATTGCAAGCGAAGAAAAATCACTAGTGAAAAAAGGTGTTGCCAACGTCTCATATGAATAAAAGGTCAAAAAGGGGGAAAAAGTGTAAATGAACATAATAAATTAAAACAATGAAATAATGAATTAAGTTATATGTTTAATACGGTGTTCAATCATCAGTTATAAAAATCGAGAGGAAATTGTTTTTAAATACTGCCCGAATATGGCAAAGGCCGCTTGTGGTTTTGCC